AACATTTATTCCCAACTAGTGGGTAGCACATCGTCAGGCATCATCATAGAATTACAACAAGAATAAAAGTACGACTAAGGGAGGTTCTGATTAATGGGAATTTCCTGGGAAAGGGACGAGGACGTAAACATTGGGCGTTAACGAAGTAAACTTCATCACACCTGAGTTGGCACGGGCAGGGACCCAAAATTACAAGGGCTCTCTATCTCCTGTGGATAACGTATCAGATGACACAAGATCGTTAGGATTTAACAGTGGAGGGCAAAAGCAATACGAGCGAGGGTATAACAAAAAGCTTTTTGTCTGGAATTTGACAAAAAGGTCCAAACTGCAGGAAGTATGGAGCCCGACGAGGTCCATCCAAGGATCCTGAAGGAAACGTCCTCCACGCTGGCAAAATATTTACACATGGTGTTTCTCCAGTCGCTTGACGAAGGCCGCCTTCTCTCTGCTTGGAAGGAAGCGATTGTTACGCCAATCTACAAAACTGGTGACCAAATATCGCCTGGCAGCTATAGGCCTATAAGCCTAACTAGCGTGCCCTGCAAGGTGATGGAACGCATTCTGAAGCGAGCTATCCTAGATCACCTTACTTCCAGCAATCTGATATCTCCAACCCAACACGGATTTCTCCCAAACCGCTTTTGCGTGACAAACATGCTCGTGTTTATGGACAGCTTAACCCAAGCTAAGGACGAAGGACTCATATCGGATGCCATATTTTTCGACTTCTCAAAAGCATTTGATAGGGTCCCACACGTCCCGCTGCTCCACAAACTCGAGTCTTACGGGATTCAAGGGAAAATCCTTCGCTGGATCAAGGCGTTCCTATCAGACAGGTCATTCCGAGTGAGAATAGGCTCAACCTATTCCTCTCCAGCGCCGGTCTCCATTGGAGTTCCTCAAGGCTCCGTCTTGGGACCACTCCTGTTTCTGATCTACGTCAACGACCTCCCAGACGTTCTTGCGAGTCCATGTTTACTTTTTGCGGACGACTTGAAATCCTGGAGTTCCAATGCCAGCGCCCTCCAAATGGATGTAGACGCTGCCAAGCAGTGGTCGTTGGACTGGCACCTTCCTCTGAATGATGAAAAGTGCGTCCATGTGTCGTTTGGAGGGGATTCAGCGAATGCCTTTGTTATGCATGGTGAAAAGGGACCAGAAAACATCATGAGGATAGATGCCAAAAAAGATTTAGGCATCTGGGTCTCCTCAAACTTGTCCTTCGCACTACACCATGAGAAATCGGCCCAAAAGGCATTCGCCGTTTTACGGATGATCCGACGTACCTTCTCCCGTATTACTCGCATGGACTTCCAAATACTCTATGGGGCCTACGTCAGACCGCTCCTGGAGTACGCCAACCAAGTTGTCTACTCAGGACGTACGAAAGACGTCACCCTCATTGAGCGTGTCCAGCGGGCCGCCACGAGAATGGTTGCCGGCCTCAAATCCGTGGACTACGAAACGCGTCTCGCGATGCTTGATCTCTTTCCCCTGGAGTACCGTCGCCTCCGAGGGGGCCTAATTGTTACTTGCGCCCTGTGTGAACAAAGCTTGGCAAACAGGTTTTTTATCGTTGACCCAGCAAACACCCGCCGGGGGCGTAGTAAGAAAATTTTCGAGCTCAGAGCACACACATTCATTAGACACAATTTTTCCTCATTTCGGGTAGTAGCTGCGTGGAATGACCTTCCTCCGACGGTTGTCCACGCTCCTTCTAGGACCCAGTTTAAAGCACTGTTAGACATTTATTTATGCAAATCCTCGCGCTGGCAAGCATATTCCCCGCGCTGAGAACATAAAGAGCAGTGCTACACCCTTTTTACGCTTGTGCCTTTCAGGTGAACGACAGCCATTGACCGCCAAGAAAAAAACCGACCCGGGAAACTTGGGCAAAAACCCCGATCCTGTGTATCAATCCGTGAATCTGTGAATGGGTCTGGAGAGGCAGCAGAATTGCCATGACTTGGCCGGCCAATTTGAACCGAAGCCCAAAACCGTCACCAGGGCTTCATGGCTTTATGGCCTTGAGCTGTTACGCGTATGGCCACGGAAATTTGGGAAGGTGAAGTGACGTAAGAGGCAGTACGGACGAATGGTATTAGGAAACGCAGTGAAACTTGAGTGACTCACTAGTGTTGCTACTGGAGCAGCGTCGAGTGTGAAACCAAGGCACACAAAAATCAAAGAAACTTTAACTCATTTTTGTAACCATTAAAAATTCAAGGGAAATAACCCACGTCATAGAGATCCATGTTAGAACGAAGTCCCAAGCAACGGGCGTATCTCCCAGTCTTGTACAGCAGTGTGGGTAGGAATCCAAATCTGTAAATACAGTAAGCGAAACCTGAAGGCGGAAACAACGATGTGCACACAGGTTTGAGGTGTCTACATAGTAGAGAATAACCACCAAGGTCACTATGACTTTGCGTTATTAATAATTTAAATAAGCGACGATATATTCAAGGCTGCAGATTGGAAATTGACGAGATAGATTTTGAGAGCTGAGGGTCGAGTTCTGGTAAGAAGGTGGACATGTGTCTAGAGAGGAGTAAAAATGTTGTGTCACTGATGGTCTCGGAACCAAATATCACAGAGGCAAGCCGGCAAGGAAAGACGAGGAATTGTTTCCAACAGACTCAACCCAAAAGTGTTTCGCTGAAAAACGAGTGCCGTTATATCTAGCAATAATATAGCTGTTATCATAGGGGGACGGTGGGCTCCGACGGTTCCCAGTTATGTCAAGAAGGATTTAGGTGTGCAAGAAATGAAAGCGACTCCCTCACGGCTCCATGTGGCACGGACAAAGAGGGATAAGAGAGTTACAGCCATATAAAACAGAAGGATATCCTCAAGACAGTAGATCTGGTCTGTTGCTTTTGCGGCGGCTTTTCGCAGCCAGTCGGTGCCAAAATATGATTGTAGCACCGCTGTGCAGACGTCAAAGAAGGCCCCGACCGTGTCCTGATACGAGATTGATGGGGCCGTTAGAAGTTCATGGGGACAATGAAGTTGGTCGGACCTTATGTGGAAAACAGATACGTGGGATGCTTTGATGGGGACTTTTCTCTTCGAGGACGGGGACCGCCGAAATAGTGTGCTTACATGCTTCAATGAAGCAAAAAGATGCAATGCCATCCAGATCTCTTAGAGAGGAATATGTTCAACCTGGGCTTTTCAGGGAAACCCGGGTGTTTCTGGCACCCACGCGGTCACCACAGAATTATGCAGATTGAGTCAAAAGGTTAACAAACTAGGAAGGAGGAAGAACGGGAACACCCATGAGGGGGTGGAGTGTTCACCCTCGTTCAATAAAAAATGTTATCCTCGTCCTCGTGTTGTATTCGTTAGCGGAGACAAAAGATAGATTTTGTCCCACTGTAGTGTTGTAGCTATGTCTAAGGCACTGGGAGCAGTGGGCAACTTAGGGGCTGAGGGATTATCATAACTGATTATGATGCAGTTATCCCCCTGATGTTAGGAGACGTGTTGGCGTGGGTGGGGAAGTTTTGGGTACATTGAGCAGGGTGGATCGTGGCGTATGCCCAGAGACCATGGGGGACGCTAGTCGAAGGCAAAGAGCAGACCATCGTGACGTCAGCGGTGTGAGCCGTAGTGCGTCCTCAGGGAGGGAGACAAAGGTAAATAATGTTCATCAAGTAAGCTTGCCCCACCTGCCCGGAAGTGTGCAAAGAGCAAAGCACAATGCGTGGTTGCCGTGCTGTCATTCGTTTTGTAGGCAAGCAAGGCCTTGTTCAAAAAGCTGTGTTCAGAAACGCGAGAGTTAATTTGGATTGGTCCGGTGTATGTTACGGATACTGGTGCAGCCGTAGTACATGAAGCTCAAAGGTAGTTTAGTGTCAGTTCCAGTGGGAGTGCTTGTTTGGCTGCTCAGTAGATTGGTGTTGAAAGGATGCACATCGTCTCGCAACTTAGAAAATTGGGAGGACCATCTTTTGGAAGGGGTAGTGCGGTTGACCTCAGGGTTTAGGTGAGCGGGTGTGGGGCACTTAAATAACGAAGCCGGCAGTAAACTGATGTGGTCAGGGAGTGGTAGGGCGCAACGGTCTCCAGTGAGTAAGGAGTAAGTTAGGCTGGGTTGGTTAAGGTCATAGTGCTGATTCCGAGGATTCCTTCCCAACCAGAGAGGATTATACTCGATAGGAGTTCTCTGGGGCCGGGGATGGGCGTTAGCGTCCGAAGAGTTGTCGAGAGTTTCTGAAAGCACCGTTACAAGTTGGTTATGGTGTGAGCCGCGTAGACTAACTTTTGAGGAAGGTGAATCTTACAGAAAACTTAAGGAGCGAAATAGATGTTGCAGAAGGGACCAGACTCTGCGGTAATTCAGCCAGTTGTAGAGCTGTTTGGTTGAACTGCGTTAACTAATCGATGGTAGAGGTATATGGCACTGACTAATCCACCACACGATACTACATGCTGAGACTTGCCGTGTGGTTGGCCGGCTTGGCAGGGGCTTGATGCGAAGAGATGAATTCGGGAGGGGAGTTGCAATTAAGCTTCGTTTCCAATGTTATTGCCTCGTGACCGGTGATAGATAAACCCAGGAATCTGTTTGACCTGAGGGGTGTAGGATATGTTACGTAAGACCTCAGTGCCTGCGGATGGCTGTGGCGTGCTGGGGGAGCATCTTGACGGCGAATTTTAAACATTTTTAAGACCTTCGCCAGAAGCGAAAGAGTTGGGAAGTTCCCAGAGGGAAATTTCACTGTTGTTGCCCCATCCGGCCACACAGGGTAAGTTGGGGCTCCTGCGGGTTTTGAAGCCTGGTCAGGGATTTCTGCAAAACTATGTAGCACCGCAGATGAGTTTCCAGGCCGCGCATCTGAAAAAGTTGGCTTGGACACAGACGACACAAGCGGTCTTATTTGGTTGCCTCGTGGGTTAAATCAATCAGCAAATTCGTAAGGAACAGAGTGCGTTTCCCATGTGAAAGATTACAATGACTGTAGTGGCCGACTCGCTTAGGATGACTCACCAGCCTTGAGTAAATCTGTAAGTAACTAAAGAGGAAATGGGTGACGGAGACGTTAATTTGGAGACTGAAACATGAAGTAGGGATGAGGCTAGAGGTAAACAAGTGTTAATGGAAGGGGAAGTGGAGGGCACCGATGGGTGGGTCTTGGTAATACAGAAACGAATCGTTACAAAACACCAGTACGTTTATTCACGGAGAGTTCTTTCCAGTCTCACTGAATCACCAACAGTACCCACTTGCAACGCAATGGCCACGTCAAGCTCGGAAGTGTACTGGTCTGGCAACCCAATAAGTTAGTTTACCAGGAGTGTGGCAAACAAATAAAAATGATTACGCTAGGTTGGGTATACAAAAATAAAGATATCAGATAGAACAGACTCACTAGCAATTGTTCTCTTTAAAATATTTCGTCGTTGGCCCA